AGTTGAGGGTCTTGTTGAGAGTGGCTATGTACTCCGACCGTGGTATGCTGGGCGAGTCTTCATGGCACTTATGCCAGTGAAGGAGAAGTCTGTGAGGGGACGCGGACCTTGCCCACAGGCTTCCCAAGGGTTAAGCGGCTGCCAGCATCACTAACAGCTCAAACAAAAATAATCGAGCAAATGATTCCTGGCAAAGCCAGGCGGCAAAGATCTGTGGCTATCTCGTCCATCTCCGAAAAGAACCCCACCTTCGTCTCGAAAGGCTTTAAATGACATAGCAGAAGAATCATAGTGACATGAACTGAAATGGAATAAAATAGACGTCATTCGTCCTGTTCAGAGACATGGTGGAAAGAATTATACTTTGAGTTACAGTTAAGGGTCTTGTTGAGAGCGGCTACGTACTCCGACCGTGGTGTGCTTGGCGAGTCTTCATGACACTTGTGCCAGTGAAGGAGAAGCCTGTGAGGGGACGCGGACCTTGCCCACAGGCTTCCCAAGGGTTAAGCGGCTGCCAGCATCACTAACAGCACAAACGAAAACAATCGAGCAAATTTTTCCTGGCTTTGGCGGCAAAGATCTGTGGCCATCTCGTCCATCTCCGAAAAGAACCCCACCTTTGTCTCGAAAAGCTTAAATGACATAGCAGAAAAATCATTGTGACATGAAATGAAATGGAATATAATAGACGTCCTTCGTCCTGTTCAGAGACATGGTGGAAAGAAATATACTTTGAGTTACAGTTAAGGGTCTTGTTGAGAGCGGCTACGTACTCCGACCATGGTGTGCTTGGCGAGTCTTCATGACACTTGTGCCAGTGAAGGAGAAGCCTGTGAGGGGACGCGGACCTTGCCCACAGGCTTCCCAAGGGTTAAGCGGCTGCCAGCATCACTAACAGCACAAACGAAAACAATTGAGCAAATTATTCCTGGCAAAGCCAGGCGGCAGAGATCTGTAGCCATCTCGTCCATCTCCGAAAAGAACCCCACCTTTGTCTCGAAAGGCTTTAAATGACATAGCAGAATAATTATAGTGACATGAAATGAAATGGAATAAAATAGACGTCATTCGTCCTGTTCAGAGACATGGTGGAAAGAAATATACTTTGAGTTACAGTTAAGGGTCTTGTTGAGAGCGGCTACGTACTCCGACCGTGGTGTGCTTGGCGAGTCTTCATGACACTTGTGCCAGTGAAGGAGAAGCCTGTGAGGGGACGCGGACCTTGCCCACAGGCTTCCCAAGGGTTAAGCGGCTGCCAGCATCACTAACAGCACAAACAAAAATGATGGAGCAAATTATTCCTGGCAAAGCCAGGCGGTAGACACCGGATGCCGTCTCGTCCATCTCCAAAAAAAACCGCGCCTTTGTCTCGAAAGGCTTGAATGACAAGACCATGCCGCCTCGTAAATCGATAACACCAGCTGATGGTTGCACGAAACCCGCTCAAACTTCACTTCTTTGGCGAAGACTCGTGCCTTCAGCGTTCTCATGGTGCCGTTCAGGGCATGGCCATGTTGACAGTTCTTGTGGATCCGCTCGGCAAGGTGCTGGTCTCAAGCTCAGGAGGCCATTCTGCTTCCCTACCAGAGTGGCATGAACGTGTGTGCCCATCTTCTCCTTCGACGGTTCACCTTTTGCTTCCACTCCCAGCCAGTCCAATCATGGCGTTATCCATGCTGAACCTTCTAGCAGCTGCTCAGCTTCTGTTTTGCTCAGCAATTATTGTGACTAAGAAAAGGGAGAGGGTGGAGGGGGGGGGGGGAGGGTGGAGGGCGTCAGGTGGTAACCGCTTCATCCATTTGCTACTCACTCAGTGCACTGAGTCAAGACTCAGCGACTTGTCAATTATGACGTTTCGAGCCATTCACCCATTGTCAGAACAAAACTAGAAACAAATGCAGGGCTGCCACACTTTTCTGCGAGTAGAAATCTGTGTGGGTCAACCTGAGAGAGAGAGAGAGAGAGAGGGGGGGGGGGGGGGGATATAAAAAGACACTGCTCCCCATATAGAAACATTATTTTTTAGGATTTCAAGGGTCGGAATTAAAGTATACTTACATGTATGTGCTAGTAGAGTAGATTATCGGTCCGCTTGTCCGCTTGTCGGAACCACCTGTTAAATCAGAGCATTTCCGGAAAATCGGAACAAGTGGCAGCCCCGCAAAATGAAGAAGCCTGCAGAAAAGGTAAAATATGAAAAAGGTGAAATATGATCTTGACGATTTTCCCTGGCAGAGCACCACTAGCTGCTTTGCTTCCGCATTGTGAGAGTCAACGCGCACCACTACTATAACGGAGCAAAAACTTAAGCTCTAGCAAGCCTGGCCAATAGTAGAGTAAAACCTGGTGTAAGCGACCTCTGGGTTTAGCGACCACCTGCTCTTAACCACCGTTTTTCTATGCACCAGCAGTTCTACATGGACATTGTTGGACCTGGTTCTAAAGACCACCTGGCTTTAACGACCGCTTTTGCTTTGCACCATGGGGTGGTCGATTAATTAAACCAGGTTTTACTGTATAGTGTGTACGGAAGCGGAAAGGTGGTTCTTGACTAGGGAGTTGTACGACTCCTTGTTCTTGACCTGATCGGTACGCGAACCCGTCGAATTTTTTATTTTATTTTATTTTATTTTTTACTGTATACTGTATATTAAAGTACAAATTTTCTTTCGCGAAATCTTTCGTTAGATTACTCCACCAGCAGTCTTGTTACGTACTAAATTTCGTTTTCTGTCGAGGTCTGTCACCCCGCACGTTCAGAAGGGGTCACTTTAGTGTGGTACAAATGTTAGTTATTTTGTGCCACCTAGCGAATATCATCATCATCATCATCATCATCATCATCATCATCTGCGTTGCTGAAAAAATAATAATAGTAAAATTTAAAAAATAATAATAATAAACGGCATTATGCAGCTGTGTAAGCAGTAGATGCACCTAGCGAATATAGTGAAAGTTAATTCCAGACAGAAACTTTGTACTTACGCAGTAGTACTGTTGGTCACTGCGAACTGGCAGTGTGCTGCTCTGAAGTTGGAAGATCAGGCATTGCATGGTGCATGGATTTAGACTGTCCCGGTCAGAGGTATGGGTAGGGGCAGTAGATGTCAGCAGACCAGATGTCACACCATCTTTAGATACTGCAAGACCAGATATTTTAACGTCAATTAACATTACTGGTCTTACAGTATGCAAAGCACCTGCTCCTGCTGTTTGGTGCTTAGTTTTGAAAAGCCACGTAAGAATGGCGATATCCACCGGGTCCATGGCATGGGGAAATGGACCATGTTTAGCACAGTGAAATAACTATATTTAACTTTGTTAGCATGAGGAAAGGAGCATATTTGGCATGGGGAAAAGGGGCATATTTGGCATGGGGAAAGGAACATAATAGGAGAGGACCAAATACGGTAATAAAATACGGTACATGTATGTGGAATGATGTAGAACGGCTAACTTAACCATTATTACGTAACCGCAGCCAGCTAAAACATGTCTTAGGGTGAAAACATGTATTCAAGGAAAATGTCACTTTGCTCGCCAGCGGCTTGGACTAGATCGCCAAATAATTAAGTCAGAACGAAGTTCGGCAAGATGCTCACGCCACCGGTTGATGAATGAAGCACAGCTTGAATAGAACGTGCTCAACGGAAATAATTCTTTATGCCGTCACATCTCAAAAAAATTACGAACCCCCAAGGACATGTTTTAGCTGACTGCGGACCAATGTGTAACCGCGACCCAGGCTGATGGCCGCCTAGGCTACACATAATCCCGGGCTGGTTGACATCCTCCGCAGTAGCAGTGAAAGGTGGGGTAGCCCTGGTGACATGCGACCTGGCGGCGCGTGCATCTGGCATCTTGTGGCACGTACGCAAACAAACTGAAAACTCATTGTGTGTATATTGGTGTGGCAATTGAGTGCGTGGGCTCTTGATTGCGCTGATGTGTTGTTGCCCGCATGCAGTCACATTGAATACTTGTGTGTGTGTGCCGTTCACCCAGCATTGATTCCCTGTGTGTTGTGATCTTCAGCAATGTGTCCGTTAATAACATACGATACATACAAAGCGAGGTCATTGAGCAAGCCACAACACTGTAAGTCGTGCATGCTTAGACTGTGCATGTGTGATGCATGCTTAGACTGTCCATGTGTGATGCATGCTTAGACTGTGCATGTGTGATGCATGCTTAGACTGTCCATGTGAGATGCATGCTTAGACTGTGCATGTGAGATGCATGCTTAGACTGTCCATGTGAGATGCATGCTTAGACTGTGCATGTGAGATGCATGCTTAGACTGTCCATGTGAGATGCATGCTTAGACTGTGCATGTGAGATGCATGCTTAGACTGTGCATGTGGTATATGCATGCTTAGACTGTGCATGTGTGATGCATGCTTAGACTGTGCATGTGTGATGCATGCTTAGACTGTGCATGTGTGATGCATGCTTAGACTGCGCATGTGGTATATGCATGCTTAGACTGTGCATGTGAGATGCATGCTTAGACTGTGCATGTGTGATGCATGCTTAGACTGTGCATGTGTGATGCATGCTTAGACTGTGCATGTGTGATGCATGCTTAGACTGTGCATGTGTGATGCATGCTTAGACTGTGCATGTGAGATGCATGCTTAGACTGTGCATGTGTGATGCATGCTTAGACTGTGCATGTGTGATGCATGCTTAGACTGTGCATGTGTGATGCATGCTTAGACTGTGCATGTGTGATGCATGCTTAGACTGTGCATGTGTGATGCATGCTTAGACTGTGCATGTGTGATGCATGCTTAGACTGTGCATGTGAGATGCATGCTTAGACTGTGCATGTGTGATGCATGCTTAGACTGTGCATGTGAGATGCATGCTTAGAGAGAGAGGGAATCCTTAAACAAAAAAAATTACAAAAAATTACAAATAGACTGTGCATGTGGTATGTGTGCTTAGACTGTGCACTTGAAGCAAAGCTCTGGCTGTTGTAGGTAACCCTCTGGTAC